CACCAAGAGCCAGTTTGTGTCCCTCTTCCCAGCCATCCCGTTAATTGCATTCTTTCCCCTTATTAGAGTACCGCCAGAGGTATGAAAGAGGCCTTTTGTATGTCTAATGAACAGAGCAGATTCACCATCAAATCCTTCTGTCTTCCAACAATCCTGACTTCATCCATCGCCTGTGCTGGATGAATGACAAATACAGTGTTTATGCTGAAGCTTGCACACGTATAGACACACATCCTGAGTCAATGACAGTAATATCACTTCTTTATTTTCCTCCAGGCAAGCTCAAAAAATAAACTTGGACAGTGGCCATTCACCTTATCTGTGGCTTGAGGCATACATTCAAAACCGCCATATCCAAGATAGTGACAGATAATCAACTTCTTAGGAGGTGCAACTTTTCTTGCAACATCTTTGTAACTTTTCACAAGGCTGTACCTCCAACAAAACAAGGCTCAGCCATTAAAAGGTAATGCAAAAGAATGACTTGCAAGTGATAACAACTTCTGTCCAGAAAAAGACCAAATGACTTCTTCAAATCATTTTCAACATCTAAAGTGGCAGCTTATATAGAGCCAAAATATATAAGAACATCAAAAAGGAGAGTGGTTTTTCATGGTATCTGTATATGCTAATTCATATCTACAGATGTGCATCTAGATGTAATTACTCTAGTTCAATAGAAATACCATGCTTGAATGTCTTCCTATGCATTGGCCAACTCCCAAACGGTTAGCTGCAAACCTATCTCCTCCTTGATTTCATAGCCCCTGCTCGATAACCCCTAAAAGTTCTCCCCATCACTCCATAGTCCCAAATAAAATCTTCTGAGTAAAAAAGAAAAGAAAAATCACACTTCAAGGAGCATGATTCTCATTTAAAATGAGCTGCCCTCAATGTTGTCCTTTGCCTTGTTTTGCTCAAAAATCGGGCTCTACAAAAAAAAACTTCTGGCTTCAAAGCATGGTCCAAAGCATGGATTCAAGGGTCCTAGAACTGACCCTTGAACCCTCCCAAAGTGCCCACCCATGATACAGAAGTAGAAGGTACCTGTGACAGGCAAGCCCCTGCACCTGCTCTACTACCCAAGTATCACACGGGAAGCTTCAAAACACCTCCTCCTCCTTCTTGTGATATTTTATTTTTGAACTGCACATGAATTGGAATAGCTTTGGATAATGAATTCAAAAGGCTGTCTGTCCTTCTCTAAATGTACATCCTATCTGCAAAAGAGTTAAAGCCTTTGCTGATCCCCCCCTCCCTTGAAATCAGCAATTTTGTTGTTGTTGTTCATTCATTCAGTTGTCTCTGACTCTTCGTGACCTCATGGACCAGCCCACGCCAGAGCTCCCTGTCGGCCGTCATCACCCCCAGCTCCTTCAAGGTCAGTCCAGTCACTTCAAGGATGCCATCCATCCATCTTGCCCTTGGTCGGCCCCTCTTCCTTTTGCCTTCCACCTCCCCCAACATAATTGTCTTCTCCAGGCTTTGCTGTCTCCTCATGACGTGGCCAAAGTACTTCAACTTTGTCTCTAGTATCCTTCCCTCCAGTGAACAGTCGGGCTTTATTTCCTGGAGGATGGACTGGTTGGATCTTCTCGCAGTCCAAGGCACTCTCAGAACTTTCCTCCAACACCAAAGCAGCAAAGCAGCTGTCAAACACAGTATGTGTCATTCTTGTTAAGAAATTGTCCTTTCACACTGCACTGTTATAGTGCTATGATTCCACTTTGCCTTGGATGTATCATATGGATTCCTGGGGTTTGTAGTTTGGTGAAAGGACCCTCACCCAATTGTCAATCCCAGGACTCCATAGACGGAATCACAGCAGATAAAGTGGAATTATAGTGGTATAACTGTACATTGTGAAAGGGACCTAGAGCTGAAAGTGACATTGCAGAAGGATAAAATGTGCCTGATGAATATTGAATTACAGTCATTTTTTTCTTCTTGGTGCAGCAAATTCTCTTCCCTCCCTCTAGTCAATTCTGTGCTGTTTTAATGAAGTATCAGGGCATATTACCTCTGTATGTGTGTATGAGAGAGAGACAGAGAGAGAGAGAGTGATGAAAATCCCTTTCAAAATATCCCCCCCAACATTCAGCACCAAAAGGGCAGGCACATTTTTTAGTAACTATATCCTCCAGCTGACAGCCAGCACACATTTTTCTCAGTTCATTAAGTACTTACTGAGCTGCAAGGAAGATTCTCAACTGGAACCGTATATTCCAATTTGAATGTTATTACTATGGCATCTTTCTGCAGAAATCTGATTTTACGCCATATTTCTACAGCAGAACCATTTGGACTTCTGAGTTTCCCCAGCGCTTCCAAGAGATGGAGAAGAAGTAGTAGTTGCTGAAGCCAACATTTCCGGTCCTTTGGCAAAGGTTTATAATCAAAGGGATGCTGCTACTAGATAGGACTTATACAGAAACAAAGAAAGGAATAGCTAGTATATTTTGCCTGCGTCGGTTGTGGCATGTTGAGAGAACTGTGACAACTATCTCAATCCTGTGCAGAGCTTAAAAGGTACTTTTTGGCATATCTCTCAGACCCAGCTACCCAGCTCCAACCAGTTCAAAAATGATGTTTTTCAAGCTCTGATCCAATGCTGTATGGTTACATTGAGAGTCCATTCCTCTGTGTTGATGAAGATTTGCTCAGAAGGATATGCGGCTGAGGACATCAAGTCAGAAATACAAAACAATTCAGTTTTGCACTGATGATAATATGAGAGTTGCCATCTTGGGGAAAGTAACAAGAAAAAGATGTGATTATAAAACTGTATGTGCCATCGATTGTGCCGATACCAAAAAGCTCCCATTTAAGGCCAGCCATTTCTTTACATGATTTGTTCTTTCCTTGTACGTTGGCTTCACTTGTGAAACTGGGAAAAGCCTGTCTTGGGCCAAAAGTTTCACCTACATTCCTATACTGCTTGCTGTGCGCTTTAGAAATAAAGGGAGCTCCGGGATTTCATCAGAGGCCCCTTCTACACAACTGAATAAAATCCCACATTAGCTGCTTTGAACTGGGATATATGGCAACGTGGTCTCAGATATTCAAGTACAAAGCAGATATTGTGGGTTATTCTGCCTTGATATTCTGGGTTATAATGCTATGTGGAAGGGCCCAGAGAAGTTTGGGCAAACCACAGGCTACACTTTGTAGACTAAGGAACCCTTCCACACAGCCCTATATCCCAGAATATCAAAGCAGAAAATTCCACATTCTCTGAATGTGGACTCAGATAACCCAGTTAAAGGCAGATATTGTGGGATTTTCTACCTTGATATTCTAGGATATATGGCTGTGCGGAAAGACCCTAAGTGGGTGGCCTCCAGCAATCCTGCATTTAACAACAACAACAACTTTATTTTTGTACCCTGCCTCCATCTCCCTGAAGGGACTTGGGCCGGCTTACATATGGCACAATGTGTCTAAAACAACACATAAAATAAACATAATAAAACCAAAAACACATAAAACAATAATTTTGATTAATTATTTTGATCTGTAAAATGGGAATAATTGTGTGTTTGCACATGCATGTATGTGTGCATGCATGCCTTCAAGTAGCCTGTCAGATTCCCTATCTTAAAGCATTTCCGTGACATTAGCTAAAAGAAAATGTCCAGTTATTTGTTCATAGTAGAAGAAGATATGAATCATGAAGAAAGAAATTCCTCACAAATAGATCAGAGTCAATCTCAAAATATACTTCTGCAATAAACAACCAAGACACTTCCTATACTCATTCAATCACTGTCTCTTCATCTCCCTCTATTTCTCTCTGTGTATGTTGTAAAATTTGGCCTTTGGGGGACAGAGATTGAGTGCCCAAGGCCGCATAATCAGGGAAAGGAATGCAGTTATCTCATTACCTCTCCTCCCTCTCGTGTCTCCTCTTCTTCTATAATTTACAGCACCAGTGATTGTAACAGACAAAATAACAGTATACACTAAACTGCATTTTTAGTACACCAATTTGACAGGCCTGGTCTAGCCTTTTCAACGATGGATCTTACAAGCTACTTCATCACACTAGAGAACAAATCCACTTTAAGGGCCCTTCTCCACAGCCCTATATCTCAGAATATCAAGGCAGAAAAATCCCACATTTTCTGCTTTGAACTGGGATATATGGCAGGGTGGCCTCAGATAACCCAGTTCAGAGCAGATCTTGTAGGATTTTCTACCTTGATATTCTAGAATATAGAGCTGTGTGGAAGGGTCCTAAATCCAATTTCTGCCTCTTACAGAATTCTGGGGTTTGTTGTTTAGGGAGGAGCCTAAACTCACTGACCTACAAACCCCAGAATTATATGGGAGGCAAAAACTGGATTTAAAGTGGAATCATTCTCTTGTGACGAGGATGGAAGTCCAAGGAGAGAACACAAAGGATGCTGCACCACTTCGGAAAATCAAAACTTATTCCCCCTGCCCCACACAAAGAAACAGTGGGAGAAAGGAAGTGTCCCTGTTGGAAGCAATTCATCTTTTAGAGTAGTTTCAATTTGCTGCAGATCTACATAAGAATAGAGGACTACCAACTGTCTTAACCAAAGAAGATTGGAACTCAGGTTGCCAGACCTAAAAACGTTAACAGATTGATAGGAAGCATCTTTTCTGTCCCAGCTTATAACAACTGTTATATGTTTTGCCAATCATATCCAGGTGTCTCAAGATCACTCCCATACTGGACCATTAAAAGTCCTGTGAGTGAATAACACTGTTTTCTTGTTCACTGAATGAGACCTTCCCAAACTTTGCATCCAGGCAGAGCTTTCCTATTTTAACAGGACCTTTAAAACATGACAATCTTCTTTCTAAAGTTCAAAGTTACATAGAGTCATGCAGGAAGAAACCCAATGATTCCTCTCAAGTCAAGAAATGGGTTCACCTGTCTCTTTCTATTTGTATGGGACTTGTCCATGAAATGGGGTTTCCACAGAATCCCAAAACAAAGCAAAACAAACCAGACAAAGCTCAGGACTTACCCTCTGCTAACTATCAACCGCAAGGCATCCAAGTTGCCATGATAGGCAGCCCATAGGGTTGGGGTCATGCCATCCTCGTCGGGGGAGTTGAGGTCCTTCTTGGTGGCCTCTTTTAGCAGATCAAGGTAGCCATCCCTGGCTGCTCGGTGGTAGTGGTCATTCATGATGAGGCAGCCTTATTCCCTAGCCATAGCATTGGGAAGGAAAGTGGGGACAGTCGTAAAAGAAGGGGCATTGAGTTGGATGAGCGACTTCCAAAGAAGCAGCTGCCGGAAGAGGAAAGAGGGAGATGTGTTACTAGGACACCTGAGAGTCCCTGGCCAGTGAGGGGAGGAACTCCTCATATTGAATGCATGAGGTTATTTTCTGTGGCTTCCCCTGGGTCCTAAGGATTCCTCTCTTCACCCTGGTATTTGTTTACTTCTCCTCAGCAAACCCAAGTAAAATTAGTTGGGTTTTTTTTTGCCTGCACTTCCTAAAAGTGGACAATAGACCATATTATCTCTTCATGCTGTTAGAAGATGTCTAAAACTCCTACCAGCTAACTCGGGGTTTCTTTTAAGTAATTTTTTCTTGCACTTGGTCTCCTTCAAATCTTGAACATCAGCATTTTGAAGATGTTTGACTTCCCAAATTTTCTTTTGAAACTCTGACCTTCATCCAGTATTTTTATATAGAGTTTCCACGTAAAGGCTGTCTCAGGCCCTTGGATTTCAGGGCAAAATCTGAGCTAAGGAATAAGATTTGCATTGCTCCTCAGTGAATATTGGACTACTGAGCACATGCGTGTGGACACTGAAATTTACAGACACAAGCACGTGGACAGCATTCTTTGCATAGGCATCATAAATTGTAGGCTCCCATGTGTACTGTCTCTGGGTACAAAATATTAGGTAGGAGCTTAATATTTAAAGAGCCGTTAATGTATATCTAATTTTCTGTGCTGGTCAATGACCAAAATAAATGATTTGATTTGATTTGATATATCTAATTTATGCGTGTGCTGTATTTGGAAACTTGTATTGTTTGGGGAAACCCTCCAAGAATTTGATTCCCAGTGAATGCTTGATGAAAACAAAACATATTCCTGTAGATTGAATATGGAGGTAGAGGGGTCCGTTATCTAAGGGCACACACATTTTTTAAAAAATGGCATGCAAAATGGCTCTTTGGCCTGTTTCACATGTTACCTTTGGGACTGCTATATATTCCTGGCTTCACTGAATGCCACATTGTCAGGAGTATTTGTATTAGGCCTCTGATTTCAAACAACTGCTTGCTGTCTTCACACTTTACACACACATATTCAAAAGTCTTAGGTTGATCCCTAAAACATGAAGGTTTGAACTAATGTCTGAACTGGATCTCTAACAGTAGCAGAGCAGCTGACCAACAACTCACTCTTTTCTGGTTTCTTGAAAATACCTGAGTCTCTGGCGCCACCTAGTGTTCAGACTCTGACACTCACATTTCTAGAAATATTTGCACGAAGGGAATACTTGAAAATATCCCAAAAAACAAAGGAAAACTTGATTTTTGCAATTTTATATAAGGGACAGCATTTTCCTATGCTATTCTATACAGGCAATCTCCAAGTTACAAATAAGATAGGTTCTGTAGATTTGTTCTTCAGTTGAATTTGTATGTGAACAGAAACGTTTTTTAAGTGTAACTCCAGCCATATATACATAGGAGCCCCCAGTGGTGGGGTGGGTTAAACTGCCGAGCTGCTGAACTTGCTGATCGAAAGGTCACAGTTTCGAATCCTGGGAGCAGCATGAGCTCCCAGTGTTAGCCCCAGCTTTTGCCAACCTAGCAGTTCGAAAACATGCAAATGTGAGTAGATCAATAGGTACCGCTCCAGCAGGAAGGTAAAGGTGCTCCATGCAGTCATGGTGGCCACATGACCTTGGAGGTGTCACTGGACAACTTCGGCTTTTTAGCTTAGAAATGGAGATGAACACCAACCCCCAGAGTCGGACTCTACTAGACTTAATGTCAGGGGAAAACCTTTACCTTTACTATATATAACAACACATACACACACATAGACAAGCACACACACATACATACATACATACATAACATAGCATAGGGATAGAGAAAGGTTAACACTCCTGTGGGGCTTGTTTTGCTTATCAGTGTCCCTGTTCAGAAGATTTCACCTCACTTTCTGTCTCTGTGAGAATTGGGTTTTGAAAAATTTGGCTTGTTGTGAAAACAAGGGTTGGTGAAAAAGCTGCAGCTGAAACTCCTTTTCCCCAATATAACTCTTTCAGTAGTGGATTTCCCTCTTGATGAGTAGATTTCTCACTTTCTGTTTCCTCAACCCGGTTCTTAACTATGAGTCATTTGTCAGTCAGATGTTTCTAACTCAGGGACCGCCTGTATAGTGGTTCTTAAGCATCCACTGATTTGGGTAGGGTGGTCATGGAATCAAACTGAGTCCCCCTTCGGGGGTGGAGAAGGGCGGGGTAAAAGTACCAGTAATAAATAAAATAAATAAATAAACTCCATCAGATACCAAGGGTCCAGTGTATTTGCTTCCTATCCAAGTTAACCATAGTATTGTGGGAATGGGCCCCACTTCTGATAAGGATAAGTTTTCAGTTATTTCAGTGCTCACCCAGGTTTCTAGTTCCGTGGGAGGATTTCGCAGGAGACGTGTGATGTCTTTTGTGACATAAAATTGGTTTACATGTATACTAGAGATTGTACCTTCAGATTCCAGGTCTCCATCAGATTTCTAGAAACCATTGGAGCTCAGAATTTCTTATGGCAAGCCAACTCTGACATAGACATATTTTCTATTTGATGCACAGACCTCACTCTGTTATTCCTACTACACATATACAAATCACTCACTCCTCACTTTGTTTAATTGGAGAGAGCTAATATAAGGGTTTGCACATTGAAGACCCAGGTTTGATCCTAGGCGTATCATACTCTCTCAACCTTAAAGGAATGCAAAAGGAACCCCCTGAATAAATTTTGCCCAGAAAATACTGTGTTAGGGTTGCCATAAGTCAAAAATAGCTAGAGGTCATACAATAGTAAAGAAAATGAAACTTCTCCACCCATCACTTAAATTTCATGGACCTTTCACTGGAATGCTATTGACTACCAATCATCCTTGAGTTGGTTGCTTGATATTTTGCTGATAATATAATAAATCTATAACAAAAAAACTTTACTTTTTATCTCATCCTATCTCCCTGAGGGAAATCTTACAAATGACAAAGTTGGAAAGGCTTGAATAGTTGGAAAGGCTTCCTTGAAAACTGAGGACTTTAGGCATCATGACCACTATGAGAAATGGCAGCATTAAAAAAAGAAAACGAGAAAAGAAGAAATCAGACAAATAGAGGAACTTGATTTTTATCTCTGCTGTTTTAATGATCTATTTCCAGTGCTCTTTATGGGCACTTCCTTCCTAAGAGGAACACAATGTCCCTGTCAACCATGACATTTAAACTTCTTCAAAATTATAATCAACATTCCCTTGAAGGCAAAAAAAAATGGAATTTGCCTTTTAAATTTGCCTCTGCAGCTGTGGCTTTGCAGGTTTGCTCCACAGTCAGTAGCTGGTGGAAATGATCTGCATTACAGTAAAAAAGCTTCAGTTGCTGAGATCAGCCTATCAAGCTAATGCTAAATGGACAGGAGCAAGATAGGCTAAAGTAGACCTGGACTACAAAAGCTTATGTTGCCACTTTAGTCTCTTCAGTGAGTTTACAAGGTGCTACAAAATGCTCTTGCATAGTGATATTCCAGACTGACACAGCAATGTCTTTGAATTCCTCCTCTCGCTCCACACATTTAACATTTTCCCATCTCCCAGAGGCAAACCCTTTGCAATTAAGTGCTTATGGATTAAACTGAAGTGTATTTCATTTCATTTCAAATACATCCTGCCTTTTCTTCAATGGTTCCTCCTATCATCAACCTCCATTTTCAAACTGGATCTCCCTACCTTACCCTGGTACTCCAGCCATTATGTCTCACTGCCTTTCCGTGGAGCAAAACTGTCTTTCCTTCACAATTTTGCATCCAAACCTGACTGCAACCCTTACATTGACCCCACAGGTCTTGCAGCTGATAGGATGGGTAGGTAGATGATCTTCCAGGTGATATCATAAGGACAGGAACAACCCAAGACAGTTTTCAGTCTGAGTCAAAGGACAAAATGCTGTGTTTCTTCTCCTGCATATCCAAAAGTTGTCTGGACAGTCAGTTGAATTTTAATTCAGCACCAGTGATGGATTAGTGTCTTCAACTACATTTGAGGTAGCAGTTGTTGTTGTGGTTGTTATTGTTAATTGCCATCAAGTTGACTTCAACTCCATTCCACCTTGTTATCATGTCTTGCAAACTCAAGATCATGGCTTCTTTGATTGAGTCCAGTTTTAAGAAAAGTTTGGCATGATACCCAACACAATTCCATCTTCCAACAGAGAGAAATATCCATGGGAGAAATAGTCATGCTACCACCTCCCCATCTGCACAGAAGTTGTTTTCTCACTCTGTCTAATGGCAGAGCTGGATATACTAAAGGACAAAAATGTGGTACTTTTTATATGGGAAGTGATAATGCTGTGAAGCATGCAGAAATCAGCTATTTTTTAGCAGCATCGAAACACATGGTTCAATGGTTAAAAGTACAGCCCTCCATTTCTTAAAGGTACACAGCACACCACAGGAAGGAAGGATACGGGTGAGTTTTCATTATCAGCCCAGGATTGATAGGTAGATGCTAAAGCAAGACCAAGTTGTGCTCCTTTTAATGAAAAGCCTGGGACCACTACTAAAATCTGCTTAAAGGGTATGTGATAAGAGCTCCCTGCCTTTTCCCCAAGAAGTGACCTTGAACCTATATCTCTCTCTTTCTCTCATGCTTTCTTCCCTAAAACCAGCTCATACACAAAATGGATTATGTGAGTCTTATTGAGACATTTATGAGGTCGGACTGTCGGCCCCATCAATGGTGTAAATCACAAAGGCATCCGGACAGATATAAATCCCTGGGAAATTGTGAGCTGGGAAAAGAGGCAGCCTGTGCAAAAGCAGTGGTGTGAAGAACAGAAAGCCAACTTGCAGGCAGAAAACAGGTGGGTGGAATGGCTTTTGCCTATGATGACTGTTTGTCTCTCTTTGCCTCTACTTCCAAAATGCTGAATATTGGAGGAAAGATCTAATACTAGCAGTGCAATCCTATCCCCATTTACCCTGAGGAAAATGTTAGGGCTTTCCATGCAGGTAGGTGTGCATAAGACTACAGCCCAAGCTGGTAACTCATGTATGCATTTACCTGCAAGTAACTCACATTGACCTCAAGGGGGTTTACCTGTGAGTAGGCATGCACTCCTGGAGAGGAAGTGAAAGAGTTAAGAAGCTTGCATTGCTGAAAATGTTACTGCAAAGGGTCTTTCCAAACTGTCGAGGCTCCTCTTCTAGCATGCTTGTTAAGAACTTGGAGGGCTGTATTGGTAGATCATAAGTGAGCTACAGTTGACCATCTTAAGAGCTAAAGAGCATCCCAGGTAATTTAAGACCATCCTGCCGCTTTCTGAATTGCAAAGCTCTAGGAAAGTGTAGAGGCGCACAACTTTTAAAAATTCAAGTAAATAGCACTTTTCTCATCCGTTCCTCAAAAGTCACTGTGATGAGAAATGACACTATTGGAAATAAAGGATGAAAGGAATGAAAGTACAATACATCTTTCCAGGACTTTTCTTTTAAAGAGACACCAAAATGAAATTTTATGTACTAAGATCAGCAAAACATTTCAAATCGGGTTTTATCAAGAGTTTGTCTCCATGTACATTTTTGCAAATCTTGTTGTTACTTTTGGGGGGGGGGGCATTTGTAGTCATTTTATCAGCTCTACCTCCCATGCCTGAGTGCAGTCTCGACTGTTTGAGATAAAACGCCATATTACATTTTGTCCTGATTCAGTGGGCTGTCTCTCCTCTTTTCCCATTCATGCTACAGGAATTCATCCATCCTTGTTTAATCATGACTGAAGTATCTGTCTGGAAAGACAATGAGATCAGAAATGAAGAACTTGTCGTGGGCTCCATTCAAAAGGACAGCTTTGGACCAGATCAGTTAAGTCCCACCAGCCAGCACAAATTCCCACCTCCCTTGGCCCACAATTCCAAGGAAATCTGGAAGAAAGGGGGACGTGTCTTTTCAGTTCTCCTGGCCGTCAACTTGGTGCTGCTAGCCTGCACCCTGATCAGTGGTGGAGCATTCCAAGATGTCAACCTGCATGACTATGATGTATTTTTTATGCTCACTGTTGTGATGCTGATCAATATTGCCTGGATGCTCTTCTACATCTTTGGCACCTCCAAGCGTCAGGCTGCTGTTCCCTGTAAGGACAACCATGCAGGACCCATCTGGCTTCGAGGTAAGAGGTTCGGAAAGGGAGAACAAAGTAAAATATGAGTATTCTTCACTTGGTGAAATGCACGAAGGAGGTGCTTCATAACCATAAGGGTCCTTCATAGCTGTAAGGGTCCAAGTTGCATTTGTTTATCTGTGGGTTTGTTTGTTTTTTTACAAAAAGATCTCAGTTCAGTTCTTCATGAGACACAATGTCATGAGCTACAAATGAACAAGAGGGGAAATTCAATATAAAGTCATATTTGAAATATCCATAGGATTTGGCAGTAGTCAGTGAATTTAAAAATCTATTTGATGGATGTTCAAAGGGCCCACCAATGAAATCTTAGATCCAGCACACTCTCCAGCTTTAATCATATGTGTGCCTTCTCACAAGCATTGCTCTTTCACGGTGCTTTGCAAAGAGCATAGAAGCTAGAAATAAGCAGATGGCATGTTCTTTCTAGAAGAAGATTTGATGCAATTCCATTTCCGGAAATTGCTACTAAGACCTCAATGCCTTCCTTATGTATCCCTGTACAGAACATGAAATAGCTCTGGTCATATTGAATTTCCCTTCATAGAAAAAGCAAGGAACTTTTGGCTCTCCAGATAGTAGAGAGTGCAGCTTCCATAATCTTTACCATTGGCCATGTTGGCAAAAGTTTATGGGCTCTGATGTTCAAAACACCTGGAAGTCCCAGGTGCTAGCAATCCCGGTCCAAAGAAATAGAATATTAATCAACCTTCACCATGAGTTCAGGCTTTGTATTTGCCTAAGGCTGGATGTTAAAAATCATATGCTCCACTTTATGTGAGTGTGATGATGCTGTGAAATCATAAAATATATGTTCAGTTTCAGCAAAATGGTGGTTTATGTATGAACAAACACCATTGGCTACTGATTTAAAAGATTTATCTACTCATGGCTGTGTTGTAATATAAAATTTATATTTGATATGTCTGAATTGCATGTTTGCAATGAGTTATAATGACATTTGGTTTCTTAAACAGGAGGCTTGGTCTTGTTTGCAGTCCTCACGCTAGTGATGGATGTATTTAAGACAGGATATTACTCCAGCTTCGCCCGTTGTTTATCAGCCATCAGAATCATGTACCCAATTGTGCAAGCTTTGTTTGTAATCGTACAGGTGAGTTTGTATATTCCCGTTGATCTAGGTAAACAGAGATTAGTAGTGTATGCTTCTATGGATGGGGTGGGCAACCTTTGTCTCTCCTCCGCATGTAAGCTCCACAATCCCTTACCACTGGGCATCCTGGCTGGGGATTTTATGGACCAGGAAAGTAATATTTTCCTTATTCCTCTCTACAGTATATAATTATTATATAATTATATAATATAAAGTTAGTTGAAGTCTCTGATCTTTTTTGTTTGTTTGTTTTCCTTTGGACTACATTCAAACAATATGGTCTCAGCAAACAGGGCTGAATTCAGCAACATAAGCCTGTTCCCCACTGTGGCAGCAACATGGAAAGCTTCCCATGTTGCATAAAGATCAATGGGGGAAGTTTGGGCAGTGGACGCTTCCCCCATGGGATGAGGTATTCCAGCAGCAAATGTGATGTGGTTCATAGAAAGCCACACTCTTACAGAAAACATTGTATTATGTATGGACAAATTTCTCACTAATTGCACTGCAGCATTTTAGTATCACTGCCACAAACAATTAATCCAAGCAACCGAGAAAATGATTCCCATCTAAAGTTTCCCTCCTGCCTCTGTGGTTACCTTGCTTCCCTAAGATGCATATGGATACAGCTTCCAGCTATATCCATTTCTCCAGTAGAGACAGGGGAAAGTATGAGACCAATGATCACAACCACAAATGTTTGCTGCTTCCCAATTGAGAAAAAAACAGATCCCCATTGTTCACAGAGGCCGCTGCTCAATAATTCCATCCATAATTATTGTCAGAAGTAAGTGTGATGCTAAATGATTAGCATCACATCTCTACCATGGACTGGCTGAATAAACAAAAAGTCACTAAATGTGGTTGGATGTAGTCTCAAGATTGTTTTTGCTTCACTTTTGCTTCTCTCTTATTTATTCCTGCATTTTGTGGAGTGTTGTTGTTGTTATGTGTGGTAGCTTGACAAGTAACTTTAAAATATCTACTTGTTTCTTTCTAGACTTACTTTCTCTGGGTTTCTGCCAAACACTGCACCCACGTGCATCTGGATCTTACCAGGTGAGTACCTAGACCACCAAACTGAGTCCTTCCAATATGTTCATCTTTCTGTTGAACTGCAAGGATGGATAGATTGGATAGAATATTGCAATGCATATGGAGGAACAACATACCTGTATCAGATGTATTGGGCTATCGATAGATGTTTCACTTTTTTATATTTTGTATCCCATTAACTTCACTCAATAAAATTTATTAAATCTATTAAAAAAGGAATCAGAGTGGTAGAAAGCACAGTATTTTTAAGATCAAAAAACTAATATCAAATTATAGTATTAATCAAACTTGCTGTTCAGATAATTAAACTAAAAGTGGTATAACTGGAATATCAGTTCTTACCATATTCCCCAAGAGAAACACAGAACTAGAATGAGCCTTTAAACTCTGGAGGAAGAAAAAATAACCTTGACCTAAGAACCTACCAAGCCCCAGCATTGTTTTCAGTGGCACATCAACAAAAAGCTACAGCACCTGCCCATTAAAAGCCCCATGTTCAGCTGCCAGTTAGAGACCCAAAGCACTACCTCAATAAAGAAGTCTTTGCTTCCTGGAGAAAGGACAGCAGGAGATGAGCCAGGCCTAGCATTCCTTAGAATGGAGTTTCATGGGGGATTACTGTGATGGTTCCTTTTTTAATCCAGGTGTGAACAGAGCTTCTCCTTCATTTCAAAACCCTTCTTTCTCTTCCTACAGATGTGGCTTGATGCTCACCTTGACCACCAACCTAGCAGTGTGGATGTCGGCTGTGACTGATGAGTCAGTTCACAAGGCTCAGTCCAAGAATCAAAATGCAAGCACTATACACAGAATGGGTACGTGGCTCAGGAAAGACCACTGTGAGGTTTAAGCAATATGATACTAAATTTAAAACACAGCCCCTTTTACTCTTATTAATAATAGTAAGGATCCTGTTTTTTATTTCTTTGCTTATACAAAGAGCAGATTTTTAAAAGCTTTGGTCAGTCAAAGTTTTGTGGAGTAAAATTGAAATACAGGTTGTCCTTTCTCAAGCCCTACATCTATTCTGTCTCTGGAAAATTTCCAACTGAGAAGAGATACATGGGATTTGTTTGGTTTAGTTTAGTTTTTTGCCACTGCTGAGCTGCTGAATTTGCTGATTAAAAATCTGGGAAGCTGGGGGAGCTCCCACTGTTAGACCCAGCTTTTGCCAACCTAGCAGTTGGAAAATATGCAAATGTGAGTAGATAAATGGGTACTGCTTCAGTGGGAAGATAATGATGCTCCATGCAGACATGCTGGCCATATGGCCTTGGAGGCATCTATGGACAATGCCAGCTCTTTGGCTTAGAAATTGAGATGAGCACCACCCCCCAGAGTCGGATATGACTAGACTTAATGTCAAAGGAAAACCTTTACATTTACCATATAAACACAAGATGTTGCCTGGCTCCAACGGAACAAACCTTTTGTAAAACTAGGATTCTTCAGTTCAGTCTTTCACCCATCCTTGCAGAGAAGGACTGGAGCACAAAAGATTTGAACCTGTATTGGCCCAGCAACTACTCCCAATCTTTCCCTTTTGAATCCCAAGGAAGCCTAAAGAAAGGATGAGCAACATGTGGCTCTCTGTTGGACTGAATCCTCCATCATATCTCACTAGTGGCCATTCTTCTAGCAGGCCCGTAGCCAGGATTTCATTTCGGGGGGGGGGGGGCTGAATTTTTTTCAGGGGGGGCTTGGGGGGGGGCTGAGTTTTGGGGGGGGCTGAGTCTGAGTGAAAGAGGGTCTAGCCTAGCAAACCTTTTGTATCATTACCCCAATACCCCCATGCATATGGGATATATTGAGTATGGTGATCAGATCATGATATGAATAAACATAACAGTTTAAGGCCTTTTCGCGAACCACCATGAGAATTTCTGGGGGGGGGGCTGAAGCCCCCCGAGCGCCCCCCCCCCCGGCTACATGCCTGTCTTCTAGGATTGAGGGGAATTTCAGTTCAACACTATCTGAAAGCTCACATGTTGCATACTTTAGAATTCCCTGTTTCCCATTCCTGACCAGGATTATCTCTCACATACATGCCCCTGTCCTAGCTATACCTACCTTAGAACACTGTTAGAAGACCAAAATGGAAGGAGAACCAGATCTGCTGCTCTGATCTCCTGCTGTGGAAGGATGAAAATATAATAAATATGCAAACACACATGGACCCTGGAAGCTCTTAAAGTATTATATAAGTGGTTCTAAAAAAATAACTCCCACTTCACTACTGTTTCAACAATGTGGATGTTGATCTTTTTGTGTCTGTGTTTGTTTTCTTATCCAAATTCCCTATATATTTTTTCATCCACTTTCTACTGAATTGTATGTATGTATTTATTTATTTATTTATTTTGAGGTTTTATATACCGACCCTCTCACCTTCAAAGAGGGATTCGGACCGGTTCACAACATGTGTTAACATACAAAGAATATACAATAACAACACAATGCCACTTCATTACACGATTAAAATATCAGCACCATACACATTAAAACATTATCATCACAGTTAAAAGAGCCAAATCGTCCAACACCATCACAATCCCATTCATCATCCTCCTTTCATGTGGGCAAAGAATTAAATCAGTTGTCAAATGCCGCGTTCCACAACCAGGTCTTTGTTAGTTTCCTGAACGTCATGAGGGAGGGGGCAGTTCTGATCTCTAATGGCAGGGAGTTCCAAAGTTGAGGGGCCACCATCGAGAAGGCCCTGTTCCTCGTCCCCACCAGCCGTGCTTGTGCAGGCGGTGGGACCGAGAGCAGGGCCCCTCCAGACGATCTTAGTGGTCTTGATGGTTCGTAGGGGAGAATACGTTCGGAGAGGTAAACAGGGCCGGAGTCGTTTAGGGCTTTATAGGTTAACACCAGCACTTTGAATTGTGCTCGGAAGCTAATCGGCAGCCAGTGGAGCTGGTGTAACAGCGGAGTGGTGTGCTCCCTGTACCCAGCACCCGTTAGTAATCTGGCTGCCGCGCGTTGTACTTGCTGCAGCTTCCGGGCAGTCTTCAGAGGCAACCCCACGTAGAGAGCGTTGCAGTAATCTAAGCGGGATGTAACCAAAGCGTGTACTACCGTGGCCAAGTCAGCCTTCCCAAGGTACGGACGCAGCTGGCGCACAAGTTTTAATTGTGCGAATGCTCCCCTGACCACCGCTGAAACCTGGGGTTCCAGGCTCAGCGATGAATCCAGGAGAACTCCCAGACTGCGTACCTGTGCTTTTAGGGGGAGTGTGACCCCGTCCAGCACAGGCTGTAACCCCGTACCCTGTTCGGTCTTACGACTGACCAGGAGTACCTCTGTCTTGTCTGGATTTAGTTTCAATCTGTTGTCCCTCATCCAGTCCGTGACAGCGGCCAAGCACCGGTTCATGACCTGAACAGCCTCCTTAGTGGCAGGTGAAAAAGAGTGATAGAGTTGGACATCATCTGCGTACAGATGACATCGCACCCCAAAACTCCGGATGATCTCTCCCAACGGCTTCATGTATATGTTAAACAACATAGGGGACAAAACTGAACCCTGCGGGACTCCACAGTACAATGGCCGCGGAGTCGAGCAGGTGCCCCCTAAAGACACCTTCTGAGAACGACCCTCGAGGAACGACTGGAGCCACTGCAATGCAGTACCCCCAAGGCCCATTCCCGCGAGGCGTCTCAGAAGGATACCGTGGTCGACGGTATCGAAGGCCGATACCATCGACTCCAATGAAGTAAATTGAAATCCATGAAAACGTAAACTAAAATATTTAATTAATTAATTAATTAATTTCGTATACTTCTACCCCGCCCTTCTCAACCCCCGAGGGGGGACTCAGGGCGGCTTACAAAATGGCACAATTTGATGCCTACACAATAATACAATAAACATATGAAAACAGCAGTTAAACAGTTAAACAATTAAAACAACAATATATATCACAGTCAATAAGCCAATCTCATGTACAGCGTTCGCCAGTCAATCTTTAAATTGAAGCCAATCTCATGTACAGCGTTCACCAGTCAATCTTTAAGTTGAAGCTAGATTACTCCCCTTCAAACTTGTTAACCATAATTTGTTTATCTTTTCTCTGTGCAGCTGGATTTAGAAGTAGTTCATCAGGCTCTTGCCCTTGTGACAGTAATCTCTGCAAGATCTTCCAAAATGGCTATTTTTGGCTATATCCCTTCAATATCGAGTACAGTCTCTTTGCTTCTGCCATGGTCTATGTCATGTGGAAGAATGTCGGCCGCATCATAGACCACCATGCCAACCATGTTCACCAGCTCAAATTCAGGCTTTTCAAAAGGACTTATTTTCTGGGCATTGTTGCCGGGATCTTGATGCTGGTGACAGGTATAGCTGTCCTGGTTGTCTATGAGGTTCAGGTAAATTCAAAGAATAAAACTAAAGCAAAGACTGATCAGGTGCTCACTATGTACTACAGCTTCAACATTGTTTGCCTGAGCCTGATGTCCATAGTCTCAATTGGAGGCTCCATTGTTTATAGATTTGACAAGAGAGACATGGACCGCCACAAGAACCCCACTAGGACTTTGGATGTGGCCCTATTAATGGGTGCAGCCTTGGGACAATATGCCATTTCCTACTATTCTATTGTGGCTACAGTAGCCAGCACACCAAGGGACGCTATAAATGCCCTCAACTTGAGCTATTCTTTGCTGATGATTGCCCAGCACACTTTCCAGAACATCTTTGTTGTTGAAGGCCTCCATCGGCAGCCCATAGAAAAGGATAACAAAGTTGACTCTCAGGAGAAGGACATATTTGGGCTCACATTTGTCAACATGAATGCCGTATCCCTTCGTGTCCCTGAAAGTGGGAGCGCCTTGCCATCCCCTACATCTCCAGGGGTAGCAATTCAGACCTCGTCTGAAGTAAAGCAATCGGTCAAAGTCCACAAAGAAATGAACTGGAGGAGAAGATTCTTAAAGGAGAGTGCCTTATTCCTGCTCCTGTGTAATGTGATTGTAAGTGAAGCCATTTTGTTTATGCCTATACTGACGTTTTCAGCAAATATTTTGTTATGTTTTCCCCATGTAATTTTCAATACTTAAGAAAGAGTACTAAGATTTACTGTTCTGACAATTAATTCTCCTTTATGGCCGTGGTGTTTGGTCTTACTTAAGTCCACCATGGGAAATCTGCTTCTGTCCACAAAATTGGGAAGAAGCAAATTATCTTCATCACTACAGTCCCTAGCCTCTTCCACCAAAACCAGACTTGGAGTTATGTAAAGCTCTCTAGAGCAGAATCTCTCAAACTGTGGGACTTCAACTCCCACAGTTCCGAACAACTGGTAAGCTAGCTGGGATTTCTGGGAACTGAAGTCCAAAACACCTAGAGGAGCACAGTTTGAGAAACAGTGCTTTAGAGATTTAGTTTGGGGTGGTGGGAGAAAGAAATGAAGAAAAATCAAATGCATTGGGGCCATAGCACGAGCTGGACATTAGGCCACAACATCCAGAGCTGGTTTCAGTGTGTTATTGAGCCCAAATATTTTCATGCCCTCATTGTCCTTAGTGAAACAAAGATATTGCTCTTCCAGCCAGAGAGCAGAGAGATGGCTGACCTTAGCTTCTCATCTATGAATTCTACACCCTGTGACTAGCCATTGAGAAGGCCCTTTCCCGTTTCCTACTAAATAGGCTTGTAACAATGATGGGGCTGATAAAAGACCCTTAGGCAGGCCCCCATATAGAAGTGCAATCTTCTGTGCCTTTTGTTTCTTCTCTTGCTGATATTTTGCTCCCACTCCTTTTTTGTTTCTCTCAAACAGCTCTGGATCATGCCAGCATTTGGAGCCCGACCACAGTTTGATAATGTCACAGAACTCAATTTCTATGGCTCTGCCATGTGGGCTGCCATTGTGGACATCTGCCTTCCTTTCGGCATCTTCTACAGGATGCATGCAGTGTCCAGCCTACTGGAGGTCTACATCATGTCTTAACGGGAAAATGAAGAATTGATCAGAAGAACCCACATTTCTCATATCTCCCAGGACTGAAAGCTGAAATTGCTGCACTAAAGCAGGGGAGATTGAGTTTTACTTGGGTGTTGGACCCCATTGATTAGTGGGCATTACACAGTAGTACTGGCAATAGCCCAAATATACCCTATGTGTTTTCTTTGTTTTTGTGTCTATTTTTTGTTAAGCAATTCCTTCCTTTCATCCGTTTTCAGGTTTGTGGGGGGAGGGTCTAGCAGTAATTGCTGTTGTGCACTCAATAGCCAAATCACACTGCTTAGTCCTAAATAAAGCAGATCCACTGAATCAAGGGGTTTGTCTATATACAGACTCACTGTTCAACAAGTGATTCAATGGTTCTACACTACTGAGGACTAACCAAAAGAATTCCCAGAACCCAGAGAAGGCCCTTTTAATTTCTGGTTATTGCAAAGACCCTTCAGTAGAACAGTCTGGGAGAAGCTCAGTTTGAAATAAGGATGGAAGACAATTTGACGTTTCTGACCCTGGTGTAGTTGGGATCAGTCCATAGGTTCCTCTTCTCTTTCACCCCTTTTCTAGTAATTCATGAAGGCCTTGGAGGCTTGGCTCTGTTAGAGCTCAAGCTTGGAAAGTAGAAGCCTGAAGTCTCACAGATTTCAGTGGAACTTACTTGCTGTCCTGAATCAGGGCCCATAGACTGATTGTTGTCATGGAAGTAATTAGATATGCTAGTTTTTAATGGTAGGTTAATGATTTTTTAATGAGCCTATTTTTTATAAAAAATATATTTATTGATTTTCATTGTGACAAGCAACGGGACTGAGACAACCATAATGCAGATGTTATTAAACTCAACAAAATGAGAAAGCTTAAATTTTAGGCCTGTCTAAGAGTGTCACGTCCCCTCTTCACATGATAAGGAACATATATACCTCATCTGTTGTTTCCTACAGTTCTTCAAATTCTGTTGAAGAAACTTCATCATGGTGAGATGATGTATCTACAAGGAGACCGGAATTCCAAAGTACAGCTAGGGTTGGTTAGCTTTTCTTCTCAAAGTCTTCTTCCTCACTAATCCAATGCCAAGCTTGGAATGAAGGCCTGATCAGCAAAGTGAAATTACCAAAGACGCTCCTCAGTACTGGCTAGATATATCAGTGATCAGCAGTTACAAGATGTTTTAACTGTTGAGGATTCATGTTTACACCAGTTAATGACTGAACATGACTCCCCCAATTTACCTTGGTAGTCTGGCAATGTCCCCAGTTAATAGTTCTCTGAGACATTGCAGGAAATGTCAGGGTGCCTTGAGAAAAGCAGTCCCAACAGGACACAATGAATCTCACTATGTGCCTGCTAACAATACTCCCTGCAACCAGGAGAATGCTGTACTACCATTTCCCATTGCCCTGATCTGCAGTGCCCCTAGAAATTGCCAGATGTAAAAGGCAGGTTTTTGTTGGGTGGTATTGTCATTTGTAACCATGACAATGCAGCTTAGCCATCATAATTACATCTGGTAATTTAGAATGTCAGCCATCACAAATACATGTTGAGCATTGGCTATCAATTAAAGAATAAAGTACATTCCTTTAGAACAGCTTTCTCAGCCTGGTATAATCCAGATGAACAGACAATCATTCTTAACATCCTTAACTATCATGGCCAATTCTTGGGTTATAGTAATGGGACCTGTAATCCAGAAAAAGGAGTCACAGGCATCCCCCAGTGTACTGGACTGTAAGTGCCTGCACCCCCTACTAGCATCACCAATGCTAAAGAATGCTGGGAATTACAGTTCAACAGCAGCTTGGGGAAGTGGTACATGATTCCTAGCTTTGCTGTAGTCCAATAGAGGACATCAGGTTGGGAAAGATTGTTCTGGAATATCCTTTACTCCCTTTGTTAGCCATGGTTCAAACACAGTAGCCTAGGAATTGATGTAAATAGCCCAGGTAGAACTCTGTACAACCTTAAATACAATTTAACCTATCTAAAACTATCACGTGGTTTCCTTTCACACTGTGTCTGGAATTAGCAGTTGCAAAATTAAGGAGAACAGGAACCATCACCCCTCACCCTGGAATTCCATGGATCCAGATGGAGGTCTGATAAATTTCTTGTTCGTAGTCAAAAGGTTTCTTGGAGAGGGCTTAGAAGAGTCTGGATCCAGTAGATTCTGCAAATGCATGGCAGCATGACAAAATGCTGTATCGGATAAGGACTACTGTATAATTAATGACTAATCGCTTGGCGAACCACCATGTTCAATTCCAGTATATTCCTAAGGCATTCCAGCATGGCATAATCATGACTACTAAAAGAAAACCCCTAAGTTTTATAACAGGTTGTTTACAAGATAAATTCAGCAGCATCTCTAACTCTGAAAAATCTTTGAAACCTTGCCGAGTTTTCCATTTCCTGATGCCTTTAAAAGACAGAGGAAATTGGTTGCATCTTATGTAGGAAGCCATTTATAGTGCCAGGAATTTTGATGGGTTTTTTTTTCTTATGAAATTGTATTTACAATGGAAAGAAATATCCTTCTTGCTATAGATAAAATGGTGTGGAAGAATGATAGTAGGTTGCAAAACAATTTTCCACAGAAGTTGAAAACGTCTAATGAAATAAAAGAAAATCATGCCACTTGATTCTGTAGCTCCTTTATTGTTCTTTCGAAATTATCAGTTGCCGATCACATCAGGATGCCCTTACTGGAACAATCCAAAGCTTTTTGGGGAGGGACAGGAGGAGAGGAATCAGGGATATGGAAGGACATGCTACATAGTATTTGATCGTTCAGCCATCGTCCTAGGCCTAACGTGATAATGTTGTCTTTGGCTATAAGGAAAAACAGGGAAGAAGAAAGAAGTAAACATATGTGAAAGCAGAATGTCAGCTTATTTTTTCCAAGAAGCTCAGGTAGCATAAACAAGACAATACAACCAATAGCTGTATTGTCTCCAAGTCAAGGCACACAGTAGCCAAGGCCGGTCAAGTTACTGTATTTTGGCACCTGAGGCAAGAAACAAAATGCCACAGCTGACTTTTTTCACATTTTCACAAAGCAAAATTTTAAATAGTAATAAGGGACAGCCAAAACTCATAGAATGAAAGATTCTCAGCCTGAAAAATATGGTTGATCAATTTGTTTCACCTAAATGCCAAATAATAGTATTAATGTTTGCTAATGTAGCCATATATTTCTCTTCAAAGTTAAGACATTAGCCACATTCATAAATTACAAGATACCTACATGTAAACGTATGCAGATACAAAAAAATACAATCTGCTTTAGACCCATAAGATGGGGATGCCAAACTCACGAAATTACAAGAAGCATTCCTCAAGTACCAACCATATGAAGATTTTTAAAAAATCAACAAGACAAGATTTGTACCTATTACTAATCTATTCTAGGTCATACTGAAGAAAGGAAATGGAAGAATCTCACTAATGATTGCTTACCACACCAAATTGAGACTACTCAGATCAATGAACTACAACCTATTCTGGACAATAATCCTACCCTCTCAAGGATTTTGATTGGCAGGCCTTTACTTGCCTACAGACAGCCTTCCAATCTCAAACAATTACTCACTACCGACAGGAGGACACACAACACACATTTTGCTACAAACCCACATGGCACCTCTGTCTGCACAGGTCATCAAAGGATCTAATCACATCACCCACAATTTTAGGGGCACTTTCACTTGTTCTTCCTCTAATGTGATACATGCCATCCTCTGTCAACAATGCACTTCAGCAATCTAGACTGGGCAAATAGGCCAATTTCTGAACCAGATGGACATACCATAAATCAGACTCTAGGAAATATACAAAAGCCAGTTGGAGAACATCTCCATCTTCATGTAAATTCCTCCTCAGACCTCAGGACAGCAGACATTGAATTTAAAGCAAATCTACAAAAGATTGGAGAGAGAAACAGCAGAAGTAGAATATATCCACACAAATTCTAATCCATGGACAATGGGTTGAACCGAGCCAATTGTGTCCTGGCACACATGTTGCACCCCAGCCTCATGAGGGCTGTCTTGACCAATTTATTACATCTAATTTCTGTTTCCCATCCAGTACCACACTACATTCCAGTACCATCCTCCATCATTCATATAGTGATCAATGAACCCTGGCCTTAGAGAAGATCCTTCCTCATGTCTTGATTCCTCAGTAATCATGGTTAAAACTGGATTTGTCACCTTATCATCATATCCATAAGTCTTGCAGTTCTACGGTGATTCACACATTTAATCTGCCTTTAAATGCCTTTTGGTAAACACTTCACTTCATGCCTCTGAGGAAGTAGGCTTGAGTCCACAACAGCTTATGCTACCAACTTCTTTCTTTCGATTAGTCTCAAAGGTACTACAGATCCCTTTGCATAATGATGCATACATTTCTCACTTAGTTAACGGCCCAAACAAATTTTATTTAGTGATTTATTTAGCTACCTTATTCAATCTATATTAAAAGAAAAACTTAGTCATCAAACAAGTGACAACTTTATAGGATGGGACAGCTGGCAATTCTACTGTGCTGGCTATAAATCATGGCAAAGTCGGTGCTTAACAATTTGCTGTCTTTTTATAAAGTCAGTTGCCCAGGGTGGCTACCTCAGTTTTCCTAATGTTGGAACCAAGCCCAAGGAACTTTGACATTTAGCCTCATCTTCTTTGAAGTCTCCCCTTCAAGGATTATATGGTAAGGCCCAGAACACTGTTTTTGGGAGGAATGTGCTTTCATATCAGTTTAAATCAAAAGTGCCATGGCACGGCTGACTACATTGTGGAACCGGAAATCCCAGTACTTGACCAGACATTTCATCCAATAATTGCCGCAGAATACAGCAAGAAAATTTTCATTGCATTGAGAAGGGGATGCTGAAGACTTGTCTGACTGTCTACCTGTTTGTTTTCTTGTTTTGTATCTCACCTCTCTCTCAGCACAGAATGAAAATGAACTAATTTTTACTTACTTACTTACTTACTTACTTACTTACTTATTTGCGGTATTTGTATACCGCCTTTCTCAGCCCAAAGGCTACTCGCGGCGGTTTACAGTTGGCAACAATTTGATGACCTGGCAGACATAAAAATACAGTTAAAAACATTTAACATATAAAAACCATATAAAAACAACAAGAACATAAATTATCAGCATCTCCTTACTAAACTCATTTTCCAATCATATTGTCAAGTCATGACATAGTTTCATATTTGCCTGTTACGCTGCATTTGCGAAAACTCACTCAAAGAGACAGATTTTAACTTTTTTTGAAATGTCAGGAGGCAGGGGGCTGATCTAATATCCCTAGGGAGGGCGTTCCATGATGTGGCGCTACCACTGAGAAGGCCCTGTCTCTCATCCCCACCAGGCGTACTTGCGAAGGAGGCAGAACCGAGAGCAGGGCTTCCCCAGATGATCTCAGTGTCCTAGATGGTTCATAGGGAGAGATACAGCTTAACGACAGCTAAAACCTTATGAATAAAAAACCTAGAAAATAGCTGACATAGAATCATAGAGTTGAAAGAGACCTTGTGGGCCATCCAGTCCAACCCTCTGCCAAAAAGCAGGAAAATTGCATTCAAAGTACCCCTGACCAATGACATCCCCATTAAAATGACCTTCCTCCACAAAGAGCGAAATCTGTCAGCAGAAAAAGAATAGAAAGGGGTCCAATGGAAAAGTGTTCCCCAGCTATGTCTTCACCAACCTCCCTGTGATGGTGGTGAGAGTGAGAAAAAGTCCTCCTCCGGGGCTCTTAAAATCTGGAGAGGGTCAGGTGCAATGAGTGATCCCTCCACTGATTGCTAGTGCCGCAGTGCCCCCCCCCCCTTCATACCATAGCTTTCAAACTATTACAAATTTTGTGGCCAACAAGGTTCAACCTGTTAGGAATTGATGTAGGATAAAGGAACTGGGCAGGGCTACATAAACCATAACATTCTGATTAGACGGGCAGATAAATGGACTGGAATTAAAGGCAAACAGCAGGCATGGGAAACCAAGAGAAACAAACAAACCTGGAATATTTTTTTAAAAAAGCAAAATATGGGGAAGAGAGACAAAACAAGGCTAGTCTAGGAATTCAACCATAAAAGAAACTTTTCTACACATCAGGCGTTTCTCAGCATGCAAGCAATGTTCCTGCTAGTGACCAAAAAACGCGCTGAGTGAACTGTGCCCTCCTCAAACTGCTGCAGCTTCTCCTCTTTACTGTGTTCCTACTCATTAATACCTTTTGCCATTTTGACCATACACTGATGTCACTTAGCCAAATGCATCCCAGTTTTCAACTATGAAATGTTGGAAGATGTGCAGATGTGTATATTAGAGATAAAGCTTAGGAAAGGAAATCTGAAAGTAAGAACTTCTTGGAAGTCCCGGTGTAAGACAGAGTCTATTCACACTGCATTTGCAATGCACTTCAACAGGCATAATTAGATCCCATGGGATTTATGAGCTTGCATTTGAGGAAGGCCCCAGCCAAAGATGTCCTCTGATGCCTCTGACCAAACCACACACTCAAAGAGGACTTCATAGGAGACAGCCATGGCAGTTAAAGTGGGATAATGGAGCTATAATTGTCTAATATGAATAGCCCTAGGAAGCCCCTGCCTCAAAGCCCCATTCACTTGCTTCCCCTAAAGCAGTCCTTGTTACTCTTTTAGTCAGGGCAGTGTATCCATAATCACAGAGAAAGGGATGTCTTCAACATTCACATTATATCTAGTATAATGCCAAGTTTTAAACTTTGTTTGAGTTTTTTAAAATATATGTTTATAACTGTACCCTCAATTTGCTTCTGACACGATAAATAATAACCTTAACACAGGGCAGGTGATCTGTAGAGGTAATGTCATCTACTCTTTGAGATATGTAAAGTAATTTAAAAGCTGGGACTCCACATTTCAATGGTTAAAGCTGAGATTAAAAACACATTTCACACAGCAATAAAATAATTAGCTTTGGAATCTAAGATAAGAAGTAGTCTTAAGATCAAGGAGGGAAAGTGTTGCCTTCCTGTTCCCACTTGCTTCTCCTCAAAGATCTGGGACAAGGGAGCAGAAGCTAGAAAGAGGGACATCCACAACAGCTGTACATACACAAAATTAAAGAAACATCTGTGTGATTGTCGCAGGGTACAAAGTGGCCCCATTAACCTCTTCCAATTGAGGTAAGATCTGCACTAAAGCCAAGACCTTTCACCTGTCTAATTATTTAACAGCAGCCGTAATCTTGCAAATAACCGAAGATAAGAAATGTCCTTAGCTGTTAGCTATAATAATCATTGTTTGAATATGTTTGAAAAGGTGTGAGCAGACGTCAGGTCATTTGTGGGATCTCCTATACATGTTTCTAAAACATGGAAGCCTATGAGTCACTGCTAAGGAAAAAATGGGGGTAAGAGTTTTCAGAACTCAGAGGGAAAAGTTTCTGGAAACCCCTTAGGACTGTTAGGAGAATAATATAAAACTTGAAAAATTTAGCTGAAAATTCTTCTAAGAAATCTCTCTCACATAGCTTGGAAAGTAACTGGAAAACTGTCTTCCATAGATTTTAAAATATATATTATTATTTCTACCTATTGCAACATAATTAAATTGTCATTACTGAACAAACTCCAAGAAAAGTTGCATGTATTTATGTTTTCCATAACTTGTTACCTCCACACTTGTTTCATCAATATGAGTGTTTCTTCCTACAATACAAACCATAATTCCATTCATAGTTGCTAAAGCAAAACTGGCAATCACTAATCTACTGGTGATGAGCTAAGCTAGTGTTAGCTAAGCTGGTTTTCCAAAGACAAATTCAGAGCCAGCACAATTTACACTTTGCTGACATAACATTTAAGAACCCAGAATTATAGGGTTTGAAGGGGTGTTGTGGACTATTAGGTCCAGCTCCTGCTCAATGAAGGATCTCCAGCAAAAACCATCCCAGCAGATAGCTGTCCAGCCTCTTTTTTTGAAGACCTTCAGAGAAGAAGACCCTATCACATCTTTAGTAGACTTGTGTGCGGTTCTGTTTTCCTCCAGTACCTTCTAGACCAGGGGTCCCCAAACTAAGGCCTGGGGCCTGATACGACCCCCCAAAGTCATTTACCTGGCCCTAGCTCAGGGTCAACCTAAGTCTGAAATAACTTGAAAGCACACAACAACAACAATAACAATCCTATCTCATCAGCCAAAAGCAGGCCCACACTTCCCATTGAAATGCTAAGTTTATATTTGTTAACATTGTTCTTCATTTGAATTATTGTATTGTTTTAAAGTGGTTTTTGCACTACATATAAGATATGAGCATTGTGCATAGGAATTCATTCATTTTCTTTCAAATTATAATCCAGCCCTCCAACAGTTTGAGGGACTCTGTTTAAAAAGTTTGAGGACCCCTGTTCTAGACAATTCTACTGGAAAATGAGATTAACAGGAAGACATTGGTGATTATATGTTTTAATGGGTTTTTTTAATGAATTTTATAATGTTGTTCTAAATGGTTTAATTGTATTTTATGACTACTATGGCATCAAATTGCTACCGATTTGTAAGCCGCCTTGAGTCTCCTTCGGGCAGAGAAAGACAGGATAGAAATATCATAAATAAATACATAAATAAATAGATAATAGACTCTTTTTGGGAGCATGTGCGCTCCTCACGTGGCACACGAAGAACTTCCACATGTTCTTTGCACAGGGCTTCCCTGGGAGCCCTGCCTGTTGGCCCAATTGGAGGAGGAGAACGCTGTAACATGTTCTTTAGGGAAATTATACTAAGCCATGCTGGCCCCTGGGAAGAAGCCATGAACTGGTTACAATTGCCAAGGAGTGGAGGAAGCCGACAGCATTTCACTTCTGCCCTAGACCACAAAAGCTCTGTACAATGAGTCACACGGTATCCTTAATTTTTAAAATTGTTCTCTTGGTTTAAATAATCTACAAACATTTGGAGCTATTGGTCAAATAGGTTAGAAGAACTTTCTGCAAATACGGCTTATCACAGGAGGAAAAAGAGAGTAACTAGAAGACGTCAATGTGGTATTTGTGTATGAGCAGGAAGGGTGTGAGATGGTACATGTTGGAAGCCTGGCAGCATATCATATTCCATGGAAAGCTCTTGAGCAAAGACTAGTGCTTTGTATAAACTTCCTGCCATCTTGGTTTCTATTGACATTTTGCCTATTGACTCATAATATGTCGAGAAATCCTGTTGAAATTCTTAGCACCAATTGCACAGATAATGCCATTTATCTTCAGGCTGCCAATACAGGAGGGCACCATGAAGATTTTTAAAAGATTGGTGGTGGCACCTTTTCAACCTCATGAGTTAAAAGGTAGCAAATGTCTTTTGAAGAAGGACCTGTTCTTTCTTTTGCTGCCTTGGAAGACTGGACAACATAATTCACAACTCATTTTAAGACCAAACATTTGGGCTATACTTAAAAGATAGGCAAGCTTCTGAACCACACTGTCAGCACATAATGCTCTCTTGGGGCCTAATTACTGCTTTGTTGGCCAGTTCCAGACATTCTGAGGACTGAGCTAGCATTGTAGGTGTCTTGGCTATGATCATCTAGCATCAGAGGGCTTTCTGTGTCTATTTTACAGGCAAAAGTCACCACTGAACGGAGTTGCCCTTAAAATGCTACCTGGTACACTTTTTCACTATCACACACACATTTGCTTCATCCCATGTGCAACAATAAACTGGAATGGCAACTGAATTTTAATTCACCACAGTAATTGAAATTTTAGAAATCTGACACTCCTGCCTCCCATTAAAAGAGAACAGGGAGTGGTCTCCAGAGGACAGATGGAAAAATGCACTCCTGCCCCCATGCCATATCTGCTGCCTGAGGCCTGCAAATGAGCAGGTCTCACTGCATCATTGGGCAAGATTGTCTCATATCTTTACAGTGCAGGGGGATGGGATTAAGTGAACAAAAAAGACAACAATTTATGTTGTATCCTATGGGTGAATTGGATTATTGACACAAAAGGTTAACTCTAAAACCCACAGAAACCCTCTTGCCTAATACTTGGCAACAGTAGTTTCTAGCACTCAACTGGGGTGACA